TGTTTGTGCAATACTCCTATTTGGCATTTGCTTGTAAAAAAGTGAAATGCATGCGACATGATACCTCTCTGGATGGCAAACATTAAGCTGAGGGCATACCTTCTCAATGTTGTCCATCATGATCCCTTTGACATCCGACAGGTGGGCTTTCACCTTGGAGAGCTTGTTAATTTCCTCTGGATGATTGACACAATACTGCATATGATCTTTCAACCTCGGGCTACACCAACAAAACATAAGCACTGATCACATACCCTCCTCTTTCATGGCACATAATACAGGTACATCTAATCTAAATCGAACACCCGAACAACGATTTCATACCCGAATTCGCGGTCAAGGTTGTAGGCAATGCTGAACCGGTCCTCAAACAGAAAGTCGTCCTCATCAGCATCATCAGCGAGTGGGTGCTGCCCCTCCTCATCGATACTGGACCCATACCGCTGCATGAAGTCTTCCCTAACCCTCTCTAGGAAGACGAACGGGACGCTCCTCCCGGCTGCCTCATCGGCGACCACTAGGAACACTACATCAAACAGCATGTGTACAATGGTGCCAGGTCAACTCACGGTTGAACATCTCACCGCATAGGGCGCAAGCAAAGAGGAGGGGACTGAAGGGGGCAAAAAAACACGGTACCGAAGCCGTGGTCGACGAGGAAGTTGAAGGTGTGGCCGTCGCAGGAGTAGGTGGATCTGGTGCTGTTTGGGGGAAGCTTCTGGAGGCACTGGACGGCGACGGTGCTGAAGTTGCCGGAGAAGGCCGTGTGCTCCGCCAGCACGACGGAGCCCTTGGCCACGAAGCTGTAAATCAGCGCCTGCTTGCTGCTGTTCATGGCGCCCCGCCACAGAAGCCGCTGACGGAAACCCTAGGACGTAATAATCGACGGCAGCAGGAATCAGCACGCGAATTCACCCGAGGAGAGGAATTAAACCGAAAGTACCAATTCGATCGGATCTCACGGGTCGGGAGAGGTCAGACTCCGAGGAGGATGAGAGGAGCGGATGGTTCTGGAAGGGGCGTTACCTGTGACAAGCCTTTGCTTCGTCTCCTTCCTTGGTTCCCGCGGCGGGTAGTAGTAAAGAAAAATCGATCGAACAAGCTTTTGTGGGGTGGGAAAATACAATCGTGTTTTTGGAAGGAAAACGGGTGGGGATTAATTCGAAGCCTCGTCGTTGCCTTCGTTGTGAGTTAACCATGAAAATACATATTTACCCTTGCCTCCTTGGAAGAGGCCTGTACGTGGGCTCAATTACTGTGTCTGACCGCTGAAGTTTTCAGGCTTTGCACGAGATTGCAAAGTGCATTGCACTTGTGTCAGTCTCGGTGAAGAGTTTAATTTTGTTATTTTCAATACTACTGTGTCGTATAGAATAAAAATAAAACTTGTTCGAAACATTCGCTCTTAATGTAAAATTTCATTCTAAACTAGAGTTTTATAAGCATTCAATTTTAAGACTCATAGAGAGTTGATAATTATGCCAATAGAGTTTTATTCCCATAAAACGTATTTTTTCTATCTCTTCATTAAAACATTATCTTGTCATTAAAAATGCATATGTTTAACAAGCCATTAAATGCAAATAAAACTTTTACTAACGCCAGCCGGGTATGTGCAACACGGAGTAGGTGCTAGTTTGTTTAGCACGTCCCTGAGTGGATAGCAATTTAGGGCTTGTTCGGCTGGCTTTAAGCCGGCCGGCTGGCTTGTTTTTTCTCTCACGAAATCTCTGTTCATGTCCTGCCAAAACAATATTTTTCTCTCACAACAATCAGCCGGAACAGTATTTTTCAGTCCTGCCGAATATGCCCTTATGTGAGACCCACTGCACCATATAAAAAAAAAAAATCTCTCTCCTAGATGTGGGCCCCACCATATCAAGGTAAAAATCTCCTTGCTTCGTCACGGATGTTGATAGTAGTGGGCTATGACATTTAATGGTGGCTTGCTCAAACTAATAGTGGTCGCTAAGCTATTTGACATTTTGAGAAAATATATGTAATTTATAGGTTAGAGCAACCATTATTCTAGTACAAATTCAAGTGATCACATATCATAATTGATAAGTAAGTTGAAGACCGAACATATAGAGTCTGTTTAGCACTTCTAAATAAATATTGTACCCCGTTAAGCTGTTTAGCTGTCTCTATTGCCCGATAGCGACCAACACAGAAAAAAAGTAAAAGCACAGTGGGGAGAAGCTTCCGTCGCTATAACCTGCTATTTTCAACGTTGTTCTTCACTCACGGGCTAGATCAGCTACCTCTATCGTAGCTTCTCTTTCTACTCGAGACTGATGAGAAGCTCATGGGGATGAGATCTAAGGTGGTCTCCGCTATCTCGTTGCCTCCGATCCCAACATGTGCGATGATTGCCACTCGTTCTCTTCCTCACGCATTCAACCGAGCTAGCCCTCCCTCACAACCCTAGTGCATTCTAGATCCCGAAGGTTGGAGGTCACCCACGACTTGAAGACCGGCGAAAATAGATTCTCCACCTACCAATGGTAGAGCTAGCCTAGTGAAGGTGAAATTGGGATCCAACCCATTCCCTGCCTTGTCCAACTTGAAATTCCGAAGTAAGTCAAAGCTTATCGATGCTAGAAGTCCGCAAATGCAAATAAGTAAGCCCAATAGTCTACACCTGTAAATACTTTAGAAAAAAAAAATCATGTAAAACTAAATCAATCAGGTGTTTGAAACACAGAACACTTTTTATAAGAAGAAAGAAAGTTTCTATATTTCAAAGTTTCTATATTTCAGATGTAAGTTTTAGGCAATAATATTAAATAGTCAACAAATAAAAGGTCAACTCACAAGAGAGAATTCATAATTTTTTATAGCTAAACTATAACAAAATTGTATGTTACCCGAACAATAAAAAAAAATCAGACCCTAAACCATGCATCTGGCCATCCGGGAGAATTTTGAGTGCAGCTAAGCTTTCGAAGTGAAAATCCATGCATGTCACAAGTCGTCGCGACACAAGGCCACATACGTGCAAAGTCTAGAAAATGACCAAGGAACATTGACTGCTGAAGAGTAATTAACTTAGAAAATGACGTGTAGAGCTTAGTTTAGTTTTTTTATATTAATGTAAGAACAATTAGTACAGATAATATCACTCACAAAAACTAAATATGTTAAAACACCCAAAGATACAACATTCCAAGTCTATAAATGATTGCAATTCACATTAAGACCTCCAATTCATGGAATTAGAGCTGAACTCCAAACCAAACAGATGCATGCATATGCTTCATGGTGTAAGTTGGAGAGTAGAGTTGTACTTTATTGTTTATAGAGTGGAGCTCTACTAAACATGTCCTTAACGACCTTTTTTATGATTTTTTTTGTTTACTCAAGTGTGTTTCAAGTTATGTTCTAAGTCAAATGTTAATTTATTTAAAGTTTTAATTAGATTTTAGAGAAGACCATATCCGTGACACTAAATAGACAAGCTATAAATATATTTCATAATAAATCTAACGATTTAGTACCATAAATATTTTTTATAAACTTGATCAAACACAAGATGATTTTACTTGGGTCATGTTTGGATCTTTAGAATTTGGTTGAATTGAATCACTTTTTTGGTCTAGCCTTGGTTGCGGTCAAGAATTGAAAACTGACATTAGAAGAATTTTGTTAGTCCGGAATTTTAACATGCATCAAGTTCCTGCGCTCCTCCTTTTGCTCGCAACCAGCCGCTTCTAAGCTTCTTCCACCAGCGTGCACTTCTTATCTTACCTTCCATCGGATGAGACTAGTCGAGTGGTCTTCTTTCTCATCACCCTTCCTTTCTCTCTCTCCACGGCCATCCGTAGAGAGCATTTATTTCTCGTAGAGAGCCTTAGAGCATCTTCAAAGTCTTTTTAAATCTCACTCTCTAAATTATCATTTAAAGAGTCATTTATATAAAAATCGCTTTCTATATATTTTCACTCTCCAACAGTTTTTCTATATCTCATGCGTAGTCTAGAGAGTCATTCTCGTCTTCTATTTTTGGCTAGTGAAAAATCTGGAATAGAAGATGGTTATATTTGAACAACCATTTAGAGAAGCTGTTGGAGGATAGTTTTTTATCAAAATCTCTATTCCTAACATTTAGGAAAGAAATAGAGAATATCTTGGAGATGTTCTTAGCTTTGGTTGTTGATTACGTATTTGCATACCCAAACATCTATTTGAATTCGATTCCAAGAAACAAATTCCATATCTAGCCAAACATAAAATAAAGGATTTTGAATCACTTTCTAGCCAATTCAACCTCTTTTTAAAACCTGCAATGGAATTTGATTGATGGAATGGCTTTTAATATCTAGGTTTCAAACAGGGTAGAATAAAGTTTGCAATGTGCTATTTTTTAGAACGAACAATAGACATGTTTTTTTAGCAAACCACCATATCAAAATAACATATCATCATTTCACTTTGGACAATGTTGGAAATGCACTATTCTTTAGAACGAACCAATAGACGAGGACACGAGCTATATTCTTCTTAGCATAAACCAACCTATCAAAACGACATAACACCCTCTGTGAAACCTACCCACCTGAGTTGACATATGTGCAAGAGCTACACTAGTTAGACCGACACGTATGTGCAAGAGTTACTCTAGACCATTGAAGTTGAAGTTCGGGGTCTATGAAACCCCTACCACCAGTCCAGGTTCGAAGGCTGGCACAAACTTCTTAGGAACAAAATCAGGGGGGCATCTCTCCCCAGAGTCTTTTTTATGCAAGCATTTCAACTAGACAATAATATGCCCTCATACGTATATAACGTTGAGTGGAGAGGCCAACGAATTGTTGTACCTAATACCAAACACTAGATTAGAGCATAAAGAGCATTTTATCTTTAACAGCATCTGGGCAAACAGAATTTAAAGCGTAGGCATATCCATTGACTTTACAGTTTACACTAATCAAATAAAAGCAGATCCATGGGTGTGAAATAGCCCAGTACACGATAGTAATACAGGCGCAGGGCCATTATCAATCAGAATCAGAATCATGCTTCCTCTTCTGCTTGTCTTTGCAGTGCCGCTTTGACCTGTCCTCAGAGTCATGCCTCCTCTCATGCTTGTCTCGCCTCCTCTCCTTTCCATCACCATGCTTATCTCGTTTTCGCTCCTTCTCCCCTCTCCTCTCGTCACGTTCACGCCGCCTTTTCCCCTTCCTATCATCTTCCGAATCCTCCTGATTGGGTGCTGGTGGGAGGTCAGTCTGCTCAGGCTCCATTTGAGGAGGATCAAGGTTCAAAGAACTCGACTCGCCCTCATCGCGATGGGCCCTGAAGTCATGGAGACAATTTTGCATTAGATATGTACCAAATACAATTAAATAAAAACACTGTAAGATTTATCAGACACTGCATATCACATTTCAATTTTCAACATGATATCACATTTCAAAAGAGGGATGGTTGCTCTCAAAACTGGATGCTTACTTGTACAATCCTAGACCCTGCACTTGTGCTGCTTCAGCATGCCCTGCTCCCAAGTCCTCTGCAGTTGATCCTCTCTTAATCAGCTCAGCATATTCATGCTTATCCAAGCGATTGCCCTTAGGTCGATTGCTGCGCTTAGGAGCTAAGCCAAGAGCCTCACGCATAGCCTGTTCCTCCTCTTCCTTCACTCTCCTGATTTCTTCCTTCAGAGCATCTTCCGTGTCAGATTTCTTATCCCGAGTATACCAGAAAAGGTCCTTTCCTGGAATAGATAGCCACAATCAATCATATCAACATGCAGAATTCATATGGCTATTAGTAATTAGCAAATCACAGGCCTCGAGAACTCAGTCCACAGCGCTGCCATTCCAAGCAACTGTAAGCACAGAAGTGACAGAGCCATCAAGACAATTGACAAGCCCTGTCAGATACAAGCAGAGGGTTTTGCTACTATTAGTCTATGACATAATATAAGGTGGTCAACTGGTCATGACTAAAACCTATGGTACAAGTAAAGCATTGCAAAAGGTAGCAAAAACACACAGACACAGCATTATGGAACTGGCTCATGGGACCTATAATCCTATACAATGTTCACAAGGTATTCCTCCTAAAGATGAACAACTAAAAAGTTGTACTGCGTAAATGCTTAACTCTGATTGTACCAGGAATCTATTGGTTCATTTAGAGACATGAGTAGCTAGGTTGGCTAGCTTGCTCAGTTTATGCCCTTCACCTATGATTGACTTGATAAAAATCTAAACATATTTTATTTATAGGCCTACCTAAAGAGACATCCTGGTTCATCCAAACAGAAATGGTATCAATAAACTGTCAGAGAAATGTTTTCAACAACAATTTTGTCAAACCTCCAGACTAACAGACTAGATGCACCCCTTACTTGAATAGGAGTAGCACATATGTACCACCAGTGAGCTGGTGCCAAGCTAAATCATTTCACATACCAGGACTAAGTCAACGGGTGCGAAGGGTAAGAAAGCTAGTCGAACCAATTAGAACCCGTTTAGGTAGTTGAAATGTAGGGTCGCTTACAGGTAAGTTAAGAGAGTTAGTTGATACCGCGACTAGGAGGCGTGTAAATATATTATGCGTTCAAGAGACTAAATGGAAGGGTCAGAAGGCAAAGGAAGTGGATAATACAGGTTTCAAGCTTTGGTACACAGGGACAGTTGCAAATAGAAATGGAGCAGGAGTTTTGATTGATAAGAGCCTCAAGAATAGTGTGGTGAGAGTGAGAAGGCAAGGAGATAGGATTATCTTAGTCAAGCTTGTCATTGGTGATATGGTCTTGAACGTAATTAGTGCGTATGCCCCCCAAGTAGGCCTCGACGAGAGTGCTAAGAGACAGTTCTGGAAAGACTTAGATGGCCTGATCAGAGTTGTACCTAGTAGTGAGAAGCTTTTTATAGGAGGAGATCTTAATGGGCATGTAGGTACTACAAGCGCAGGTTTCGAGACAGTTCATGGAGGTTTTGGGTATGGTAGTAGGAATCAGGAGGGGGAGGAAGTTTTGGACTTCGCGGTAGCTTTTGACCTGATGATAGCCAACACTTTCTTTAGAAAGAGAGAATCTCATCTAGTGACCTTCAGTAGCGGACAACACTCTAGCCAGATTGACTTTGTCCTCATAAGAAGAAAGGACAAACGAGCATGCTTGGGTTGCAAGGTGATACCAGGAGAGTGTGTTGTTTCTCAACATAAGCTTTTGGTGGTAGACTTTCGTTTTCAGGTGCGTGCCCGTAGGAATAAACAAGCTAAGATTGAAAAAACAAAGTGGTGGAAACTGAAAGGAGAGACGTCAGAGGTATTCAAGGAAAGGGTTGTCAAAGAGGGCTCTTGGAAGGAAGAAGAGGGCATAAACAACATGTGGGAGAAGATGGCAACCAGCATTCGGAAAGTGGCCTCAGAGGTGTGTGGAGTAACCAAAGGAAGTGGAGGCGAGGCTAAAGATACTTGGTGGTGGAACGAGTAAGTCCAAAGGGCTATTAAGGAGAAGAAAGAATGCTATAGACGCTTGTACCATGACAGTTGTGTGGACAGCATAGAGAAGTAAAAGGTGGCAAAGAAGACTGCAAAGCGAGCTGTAAGTGTGGCAAAGGGTAGAGCATACGAGGATCTTTACCAACATTTGAGTACGAAGGAAGGAGAGAAGGACATTTATATGATGGCTAGGGTTCGTGAGAGAAAGACAAGGGACTTCAACCAAGTTAAGTGCATTAAGGATGAATGGGAGCATCTCTTGGTGAAGGAGGATGAGATCCGATATCGATGGCAAGAGTATTTTGACAAATTGTTCAATGGTGAGAATACGGATACAACCTTTCAGTTGGATGACTCTTTTGATGACACCAATAGGCGCTTTGTGCGGAGAATCCAAGAATCTGAGGTCAGAGAGGCGTTGAAAATGATGAAAAGAGGTAAGGCGATGGGACCGGATGGTATCCCAATCGAGCTGTGGAGATGCCTTGGGGACATAGCTATAGTATGGCTAACCAAGCTGTTCAACCATATTTTTCGATCGAACAAGATGCCTGATGAGTGGAGAAGTATATTGATACCGATCTACAAGAATAAAGGGGATATTCAAAGTTGTACTAATTACCGGAGAATTAAGTTGATGAGCCATACTATAAAGCTATGGGAGAGAGTTATCGAGCATCGCTTGAGAGCAATAATGCGGGTCTCTATGAACCAATTTGGTTTCATGCCCGGAAGGTCAACCATGGAAGCCATTTTCTTAATAAGACAAGTTATGGAGTGGTATAGGGAGAAGAAGAAGAACCTACACATGGTTTTTATTGACTTAGAGAAGGCTTATGATAAAATACCAAGAAATGTTATGTGGTGGGCTTTGGACAAACATAAAGTCCCAACGAAGTACGTCGGGCTCATTAAGGACATGTACAACAATGTTGTGACTAGAGTTCGAACAAGTGATAGACACGGATGACTTCCCGATTAGGATATGACTACATCAAGGGTTAGCTTTGAGCCCTTATTTGTTTGCCTTAGTGATGGATGAGGTCACAAGGGACATACAAGGGGACATCTCTTGGTGTATGCTTTTCGCGGATGATATAGTGCTAGTTGATGAAAGCCGGACATGAGTGAATCAGAAACTAGAGTTATGGCGGGAGACTTTGGAGTCCAAAGATTTTAGACTCAGTAGAACTAAAATTGAGTATATGCGATGTGACTTCGGCACTACTATTCGTGAGGAGGAAGATATTAGTTTGGACGGTCAAGTAGTGCATAGAAAGGATACCTTTCGATATTTATGATCAATGCTACAGAGAGACGGGGATATTGATGAAGATGTTAGCCATAGAATCAAAGCAGAGTGGATGAAGTGGCGGCAAGCTTCTGGTGTCCTATGTGACAAAAGGGTACCATAGAAGCTAAAAGACAAATTTTATAGGACGACGATTAGACCTGCTATGTTGTATGGTGCAGAATGTTGGCCTACGAAAAGACGACATGTTCAATAGATAAGTGTCGCGGAAATGCGTATGTTGCGTTGGATTTGTGTCATACAAGAAGGGATCGAGTTCGGAACGATAATATACGTGATAGATTAGGGGTAGCACCAACTGAAGAAAAACTTATCCAACACCGGTTGAGATGGTTTGGACATGTCCAACGAAGACCTTCAGAGGCACCGGTGCGTAGTGGAATCCTAAGCCAGGATAGTAACGTGAAGAGAGGCAGAGGAAGACCGAAGTTGACTTAGGTAGAAACAATAAAAGGAGACTTGAAAGGATGGAATATACCCAAAGACTTAGCCTTAGATAGGAGTGTTTGGAAGACAGCTATTCACGTGCCTGAACCTTGATTGCTTTTGTTGGGTTTCAACTCTATCCTACCCCAACTTATTTGGGACTTAAAGGCTTTGTTTTTGTTGTTGCTGCTTATAACAGAGCAATAACATAGGAAAGTCCATATCTCAATATTCCACCAAGAAGGTTCAGTCAGTGCAGTATGCATAAAAAAAAAGGACAGCAGGTAGATAAAAGGGCAGCATAATATTTACCTTTCTGCCATCTACCAACCGGAGCCTTAACACTATGACCAAGGTAATTCTCTCGATGCTTGTCAACCTTCACATCGTCCCATTTGAATTCTGCAGGAATAAATATACAGTTAGAACCACTGTCCCTTTTTATGTTCCATGACATATAAAAATGAAGCCAGAGTGCAAATGAAGTAAGAAAATGTAGACAGCAGTACATGATAATAATATGCAAAAGAGCTTCTAGCAAAGATCAAAAGGTATGCTTTGCCTGATAGTAGGTGGGGAATTCTCGGATGAGAAAAACTATGCAATTTGTGAAAACAAACTTCTAATACAAACAAAACGCATAGCGAAGCAAACCAGGCGGCATCCAAAAACTTGCAGGATTGAAAGTTCAAGATGTGTGTTCTGTAGCAAAAGGGGGTCCATTTGAAAAGAGAGCAGCCAGCATAAGATATGGTACAACTACACACCAATGCCTCAGTCATAAGTGCAACACTCTCCTGAGTTTATCATAAACAACATAGCACTGGACTATATCGCCATAACTGAAAGAACAATTCTAAACAAGATAAACAGCACAATCGAATAGACTAGCGAGGTAACTCCAATTAATCATTCTGTTCATTTTCTTGGATTACAGTTTCCTATTGTTACTTAGAGGAATCAAGCTGACCCCTTTGATGTAAATGGCACCAAAACAGGGTAAAGCACATTCAATAAAGGGAATTAGCTAATTCGCAAAAAAAAAAAAAAAAAAAAAAAAGAATTAGCTTTCTTGATACAGTTCGAATCAAAGTATGAACAATAAATATATTTATACAGTACCTACACGTTTTGAGACATAGTATAGATATAGGGACCGTCAGACATTCTGCATGGACGCGGTGTTTGTGTTTCACCTTCACATATAAACAGCCTTAATCTAGGCCATTGCAGATGGAAAATCAGAATAAAGATAGCTTTGCTAACATTGATTCAGGCGATTTCACTGTGGCAGATTATCATGTTTGCTTTAAAAAGGATTATATATTTGATTTGAGGAAGACCCTCCGAACTGCCCTAGACACAAACGCGAGTAAAAGCGAAATCTCCTACGCAACAACCAAACAAAGGTGGCACGAAGTGGCTACAACGCCGATGGAGGAAGGCAATTTCCCAGCTGCCGCACGCATCGAAACCCTAGCAGCTAATCACGCGGTCGATTTCCTTCCGTGCAACGAGTAAGATCGGATCGAGATGCGGACGGGACAGGAGAGCGAGGGGAAAGGAGCTTACGATCTCTGCCGCCGCGGACGCCGCCTCTCGTGGGGTGGTACATCTCGGCGCTTCCGCGAGCTTCGGGACTTCAGGGGGAGGAGATTTTGGTGGGGGAGTTTCTGGGTCGACCGAAAGCGAGATGGAGACGACGACGAAATGACGAGGAGAGAGGTCGGCTACGGTTACTCGGGTCGGGCGCTGAGACCGTCGTATGGGCTAGTAAATGGAGGCCCAGTCAACGCGTTAACAGTTAAGCCCATTAAGCTCGTGGACAGAGAGAAAAATGGCTTTTGGCTCCTGCATTCGGCTTCGCCTGGTAAACATTGCTAAAAAGTCCGATTGACTTCTACTAATCGAAAAACTAGTCTTCTTTTTTCTCCTCCACCGTTCAATTTTTGCTTCTTGAGTGATTTTGATAGGAGTATTTGTTGACGTGGAGCCATACCTGACGCCACGTCAGCTATGAGCCTCTAACTATATATCGAATATAATGATAGTTTAGGGTCAAACATACTTTTATCAAAATGTTGTAGAAACATTTTTTTAAATATTATCTCTCTTTTTAGAAAATATTATGCAATTAAAAATCCTAATTCTGATTCAATCTTGAACAATCATATAAATTTTGTTTTAGCTTGTTTTTTATTTTTTTTGTAAAAAAACATGTTTTGTTTTGTGAAGCCTAGCTTAGAAATATTTTGACCTTATACAATCTTTTTTTGGTGTTTATTTGCTAGTAAATACTCTTATATCCGTTATAGTTATAATTAGTCTATGTTTACCTAGGAGTCCTACTGACTTCGCGATAGCAAAAGTGTCATGTAATAGTCGCGTACTTGATCTTACTTATATCACAAACACACGTGTCATTTATAAACGCATACACGCACATCCATCCATGTGAGCACAATTCCTGAGATTGTGGGCACACTGTTTACCAAACCAGCTCACAACATTTTGTAACTTATTTCCACATCAATCTCATGGCTAATTTTTTTGCTAATAATTCAAACCTCACCAAATAGAATTCATTTGCATGCTTGTAAACAAGAAACATAAAGCATCATATGCAGTAAAAGGACGTTTCTTTGTGATATGGTGGTATCTAGCTAGTCGGACATGTCCAAGCACCAATCACGTAGTTAAATTGTATGTTCGTTGCCCAGACTAGAAAAAAAAGCAGCAGCCATATCCATCTCATAGTGCTGAGATGTCACTTATGTTCATACTAAATAGAATAAAGTATGAGATCAGTGGAGTCACCTAAACTCATACGTAGTGTGTCATTATCTTGGACAAATTATAACAAATAGCGAGATCATATAATATCCAATAAACACCAAAAGTTGATCGTATAAGAATCAAATAATTCCAAACTAGCTAGGTACCATAACGTAGAACATGATATTAGAAAAAAATGGTCTTATATTTTTCTAAGCTAAAACAATTATTATATAATTTATTCTAATATTCAGATTTAGAATTTTTAATTGTAGAGCTTTTATGGGGAAAATATTTTGATAATATTTGTATTATTTTATGATATTTTTTATAAAGTATATCTACCTCCCTTGATTAACAATATGGATTGATTTACCTCCCTTACGATTGGAGTGGCACCGTGTCAATGGATCTAATGGTGCCGCGTCGACCAAAACCATTGTCAGAACCACTAGGGACCAAGATCAGATAATTTCAAATGAAGACAAAAAACATGTTTTCGGTTGGAGGAGTCGAATAAGACTTTGATTAACTTTGATTAACCTTTAGGGAGATCAATGTGAAAGGATTGAGATGTCACCTGAGAGAGGTGAATTGATGTTCCTAAAATGACTGAAGGCTTGGTCTACATCAGAGTTTTAGTCTGAACCGGAGATCTCTTACTAAGGTAATGAGTAACGAGAAGAACACAAATCAAGAGGGATTACACCTATTTAATTAATTCTATATTACCAAGGGTTGATGGAAATGTAGTGAGTTGATTCCTTCCAGAACCAACAACCACAAATATAAGAACAAGTAGATCGGGCGAAATCACCCAAAAATCAGCACAACAAGAACATAAATAACAAGCAAAGAAGATACATGATTTATTTACCAGGTTTGATTCACCGTCGTGAATCCTACATCTTCGTTGATGAGTTTTCAAGGGAGGCAAGTCTCTTTCAAGCACTTAACATCAGCAAAGGACCCCAACAGAGGGACTTTGCCTTTCATTACCTTGATTTCTTCCTTTGTGGAGGCAAAATCAAAATCTTCACAGATTTCCTGTAGCGTGGCACCTATTGGGAGCTCGCTGGGCAACATCTAGGAGACTTCACCTTCTAGAGTAAAGAATGCTTCACGAAGTCCATAGGTGTTCAATGATAGGATTGCTCCCTCTTACAATCTTCAAGTGACAACATTTAAATGTTTTTTTGTCTCTAATGGACTTTTGTTATTCAACCACCAAAATCCGATAGGGGCCTATATGGTTGTTCAAAATAGTTAGCTGAAAACTTAGAAATCATATATGTAGTTTGCTTTCAAAACTACTTTCAACGCATCATGCTCGAAGGTCATTAGAATTCAACAATGGCAAACGTCCATGGTTGGGGTAGCACGTAGGAATTGCAATGTCGGGCCTCTTTGGATCCTTGAATTAAATTCATTCTAATAATTATAATTTAGATATAGATTAATTAAACTAATATAGTTATATATGGAATATATTTGTATATTTCTTGTTAGGCATATAAGAGACATATTTATATGCTGCATTTTTAGTGTAGGAAAGTGAATTAAAGAATGTGCTATAAGTTGGAGAGTAGAATTATAGTATAATAATATATTTTCATCTCCCACCCTATGAATTTGAGATATGTTTATTTGTGAGCTTGAAAAAGTTATGTAATGTCAAATTTGAAGCCAAATAGTCTAATCTATTAAGTTCCAAAATGAAAGGATCCAAACGACCCATAAGTGCTGCACTATAACATAGAGAATTTGTAATCATGACCATCTTTTTTTTACTCCTACAAAACAGGATTAACAGAAAGTGCAGACCGAAAAAGCGAAAGAAGTCTCCACGGAAAACTTTATCTAGATAGAGGGCAGAGTGAAAAAGCGACATGAATCCCCTATAAAAACTTTATCCAGAATTTGTTTCAAATCAAGAATCAAAAGTAAAGAAAAGGAAAACCCAAGGTGAACTTTCTGAAGGCTTCTTCCCCTTTCTCGTGCACCCTGGTATGCCCACCCACACCCAGGGCGAGTCACTACTTCAGTCCACCCACCCATCTCATTTCTCAACCCAACCAGCAAGGGGACCAGACAAGCAGCCCAACCTCCGCACCTCAGGCCCAGGCAGATTCAATCGCGACGAGACGAGAACACGAGATGGCGATGCGGACCGCGCTGAGCTCCCTCCCCGCGCGCCTGCGCGCCCCCGCGGCCCCCGCGTCGGCGGCGGCGACCGGCGGCCTGCGCCTCCTCAGCGACGGGAAGGGCCGCGTGCTCAGCGAGGAGGAGCGCGCCAAGGAGAGCGTCTACATCCAGGTCCAAACCCTGAACCCCTCCCGTTGACCATTTCCCCGATCCCGTCGTTACGGCTACGTTGATGGGACTGACGGAGTGACGGTGTTTCGGTTCGATCCACCGCGGGGCGGGGAGCAGAAGATGGAGAAGGAGCGGCTGGAGAAGCTCAAGAAGCGGCTCGAGCAGGAGAAGTCCGGCAACGACAAGGCCAAGCCCACGGACGCCGACAAGGTACAGTAGCATCGTCGTCTGTTGACATCGAGCGGCACAGAGCTATGTGATCTGCATGTGAAAATCGCATTGCTGTTTGCACAGCTGCACTCTACACTCCCAACTTTCAAGTCACTGCATATTTGTAGGGCAAGTCCCAAACGAACTGTAGATGCCGAACTGATCCTGATAGAATGGGGTTGGGATGGGGTCCTCTGTCTACTGAACAAAATGGATGGGGATATTTCTGGAACACCCAAGTACATTGCAGGGTTTAGTTCTCAAGAACCTGGAATGTTCAGATCAGATCATGAGTTAATGTGGACTATGCACTACTTTGACTGAACGTTTCTTTACATCAGGGGGCATTTAGATTGGGGGGATTTGGGTCCGGTTCGGTAACTGTGTGTAAGTAGCATAATTGGGCAGACCCTAATTGAGCCAAGGAGCTTCCATATGTTGACAGGAATGGTCCTCGGAGTTAACTATGCATAAATAAATTTCCAACACAAACATATACAGTAGTACAGTACCCTATTCCACTTATAGTTTCTAATTTTCAATATTTCATAATACTCAAGTTATCATTCCTCTGCTTATCCCATGGCCTATATGAACCCAATATGACCTTGTGCGGATGCACTCCAATCTATTAATTTTCCATCCCAATCCCTCTCAACCCATGTGGATTGGGGTGGATTGGAGCGCATCCAAAGTTCCAAACATGCCCTAAGCAAAACATGAGTGTGTAATTTTTTCAGCAGTCAAAGATACATAGCGAAGTACTGAAATAAACTTTTCTACGATTATTACAAGATTATAAACCACCATGCTGAACTCTATTTTTTCCATTTGTTTTGGTTCTCAAAACAGCATCAAGAGGATTGGATCAGCTGTATGTTCACAACACAGCATCAATCTATTCACTGTCAGAAACAAATTGTTTCTGCATCCTTATTCAATGAAACTAAGTCATAAATTAGTGTCCATGTTATATGTTCCAAATAACTTTTTCAATACTGTTGAGTTCCTTTTCTCCACGCATTTAGGAAAAGTGAATATCACGCACCATCCCTTTTCAACTCATTTGGCTACAGTACACTGCAGTTACCACCTCACAAGATTGAGGATAGGTTTGGCATAGTCTTTAATATGTTTGTTGTGTTACAGCCAAAAACAAATTCGATTGTAGCTTAGCATTGCATGGGATTGTCACAGTAACACAGTATGATGTTCAACTTACACAGATCAAGACTTAAATGCTTATTGCGCATAGCATCAGTTTGCAATGTGTACTTACTGCATGCTTGTATATTATCTAATGCAGAAGGCCGAGGGATCTACCTAGGACTGACATGGCACTGTCGGAAGGCAATCCTGTTTCGCATGCATCCGATGGACAGCTTTGTCTGTACATGTCCAACAATGGAAGAATAAATTCTGTAAAACGTTAACGGCACTGGATATGCTGTGCTTTCGGTTGCTTGCATGTTGAAGACGACATTCATATTTTGAGACTGCTGCTGTTGAATCTTGCACCTTTGTGCCTCCTTTGCGTTTGCTACCTCGTGGTGGATCAGTCTTTGTGGTGTTACCTGCTCTTTACTAGTTCCTGACTAGGAGAAACTTCTGAAACAAGTACTAAGAATTAGTTTCAGGTAGAGTGTTGGTGATAAAAACTCATCGTTGCGGACTTGAGGTACATGAACCGCTGGTGTGTTTCCTTGGCCTGCCTGCTTTCCCCCGAGGTTGCTTCAAATCTGATGCTACTCGTCTCGGTGGAAACTGAAAAATTGCATCATGATCCAACCAAAGTTTACATACATGTCACAAGAACTAACAAACAACACATCCAAGATCCTGTTTGCTTGAATTTACTGTGTCTGTAGCTGCAGCAGCCATCCAAGCAGCTACAGTCACAGTCAGCAGCAGCTGCCAACCAGCAGCCCTACACACTGATGATGTGAAGCAAGTAAGCTCATAGTTTATTCAGCTTTGGGCTGCAGAAACGGCAGGGCTAAACAGCCACAACCCAAACAGCCGGTGAAACAAGCCACTTGTCGGCTCCTAGACATTTGAGATGCGAGTTTTGGCTTCTACACATTTGGGATGAGTTTTTCCGGAACAGGAAGCGGCCAACCATCTCGGTTTATTTCTCGATCCGCGGATGGATCTAGAAAAAACTGGCGGCTTGTACTGGTGATCAACCTAAAATTCCTCACCCTCGGCGGATTGATCCATTCTCTTGGATCGATGGATGGATTTGTGGCTGGATTGTCAACAAGTCCGGTTCGAAAATACTAAGAAAAAAATATCTTTACCTCCCTTATAACTATTATAGTAATTTGATTTTCATCACCGAACTCTAAAACCAAACATTTTAACCATTGAACTCTCAAAACCATTCAAAATATCTCTTTGTCATGGTTTGAAGGCATTTCGTTCTTAATTAGTTAAAATTGGTAAATACTTGATATGCTTTTTAAATCACAAAATGTGTCTAAACTTCTAAAAAACTGATAAAATCTTAGACATGGATAGGGACATGACAAATTCAAATAAAATAATTGTATTTAGTTGAAATATCTCTAAAAGCTTTCAAAAAAAAAGATTTTGCTATATGAAAATGAAAAAAATATGTGAAAAACCTAGAAAATTCCTAGAACATTCTGATCGATGTCGAATCACACTTTATAAAACGTTTCACAACAGAAACATAAAACACAACAATCAACATGAAGACATCAACATTAATGTATGTTGTATTCATGTTGGTTGCATCTCATATTTTTGTCGTCGAAAGCTTTTAAAACAACTCTAAACACATATTAGAATGTTTTGTGAGTTTTCATATTTTCTTGGGTATCTTCCCATTTCCTAGAGCTAAGTCTACTTTTTTGAAACTTCTAGAGATATTTTCACGAGTTTTAAATATTTCATTTATTTTTTTCATGTCCCAATCTATCTGTAATATTTTTTCTAGATTTTTTAGAAGCTTAGAGTATTTTTTTGTTTAAAAATATTATCGAGTACTAGGTTCGTGCCCGTGCGTTGCTACAGGATAGCTAAACTTCTGTACTAAAAACGCATGGATCGCATGATAAGATAACAATACTGTGAAATTAAATACCGATGTTAAAGTGATATTTAATCCAAAAGGCAAAGTTCGTGAAATTAACATAATCACGAAGAGCGCGGCATCATAGACTCACAAAGTTCGTGGACGCTTCAACCATCTAGGATCATGTCCGTGCGTTGCAACGGGAACAAATAATACCATAAGAACTTTAAGTTTGAACATGTGTTGTACTATTATAAAACATGATTCTTTGAGCTTGTGATGTTTGTAAAATTCGTTTTTTAGCCAACCATCACTACTACTTAAGTCTCAAATTGACTGAATTCATCAAAACATGCAGTTATACATTGGCATCACACACACAGAGAGAAAGGTATGTAAACTTCCCCTCCACATCATGCATAATTGCATGTCCCTTGTGTAACACGTCTGTTGACTAGTCTGGGCTAGTTGGGAGGTGCAGCTATGGTGGAGGGGGCTGGCTGTGGGCGGCCATGGAGGATGAGGGTGGTGGCTAGAGTTTCGTGGAGGTGCTGTTGGCGTAGGGAGGGAAGAGGAGCTGCGGCAGGAGAGAGAGAGAGAGAGAGAGAGAGAGAGAGAGAGAGAGAGAGAGGCGCTGGAGGAAGAGGAGTGGGGAGGGATAGGAAAGTCCTTAGGCTATTTCTTTCTTGATCTCCGATGATTACAATGCCTCTATATTTATAGTCCCGAGTAGACTTGCATCTTAAGTAATATAACGAGGAGAGTCCTTATAGATTTGGACTCCTCTAAATTTATCTAATCTATTCATATTTTATTTATCTCCTTAACTTTATTTAGAATCCTCCGGATACGAGGATCGACGGCGCAGCAAGAGGCCACCCTCGTTGGGCGCGCGCCCCCTCCCTGGGCTGCAGTTGGTCCCATGGCCCCGGGGTAGGGATGTGCTATTGGACGTGTTACACCTTGCAATAAGCTTCAGTGCTCGAGGCTCCTAAAATCCTACAAACCACACTATATTAACTACTATTGGCAATAGCAAACCCAAGAATCCATGGAACTCAACAAAGGATCACCACCGAAAATGCACTCATCACACCAGTGAGGGGGGAGGCAAGCTCGGTAGCAGGATGAGATCACCTTGCTTGCGTGTTGGTGTCGCTCGTCGTTTGTGTCTCACAAAAGCATTAGTTGCTTGCTCGTGATCCCCATTCCCACAAACCACAGTCACTCAGGCAGTACGGTTCTGCTCTTGCTGCACAGATGAACACAACTGAAACACTATAAGAACGACTCTAACAAAACCGAGAGCCATTAGATTCGTTTACTGCATGAACAAATTAGCATGTGAAAATTTTATATTTAGAAAAAGGCGGACAAAGTGGATCTACATGGTGATGAAATAAATTTCTCACCTCACATCTGCTACAGAGAGAGGCAACAAGGTGGCGTGCACACATTATTGGCCTTCCACAACCAAAATCAAAATAGGCTAAAGTTTTGTCAAGTTACAACCCTTGCAATCAAAATCATTTTTTTTTTTTTGTGCTAATATTCCACACTGAAAGGCCTTCTTCACTACCAACGATTACCTAATATGCAAAAAAAGACTTAACAGAAACGATAATAGGTACAGCTGCAGATCCATGCATCTTAAAAAAAATCTTTGCTCACAACTCAACAATCCTATGTTTTATTCTCCATGGAAAATAGAAGGCCCTTAGAGGTACACAAAGCACTGACTTGTTCTTTGTGCTATTTATCTGACAGAACTAATATTCCTATGTTAGAAATTTATTATACAAATTTAATTGGATTACTAAAATATGTCCAGAACTTTTGTGCCTTTGGCTGGTCAGCCAGCTAAAATAAAGAATTAGAGAAATGAAACACTACAAAATCTAACGCTTTTAATAGTCTCCTTTGCTTACATACTGCCAAAGAAAGAAAGTAGGCAAGAGTGAGCTATCACTTCCCTTTTGCAATTGCAATATATTCTGGACACATACTGGATTGTGGACCATGGAAGAAGAAATGCCATGTTTCACCACACCAATTTGATCCATCAGTCTGGCAATTAAGAAAAAAACTGAGAAGTGGTCACATTGTTCCCCTTAGTGAAAATCATCAAACACCTGCACGACAATGTCAACAGATGTTATTAATGATTACTCAAAAGAACGCAGGGATAGGAAAAAAAACTTCATGGAATCTGGCTTTCTACTGGCGGGACAATGGAAGGGACGAGGAGCTAACCATTTAAATCTGCCAATGACAAAACCCTCTG